GTTTTAACATATGCATGGCTCTAACATACAGTAAATACATTAGCTGTGCAGTCACACAAATCTAATGCATATGAATTGTAAGTATTACCTGTGCAGACAAAGATATGGCCTTCCTACTCCTATCTCACCATACCACATGCAGCATGGGTCGTTATGGTTGAATCGTAAAATATAAAACATCTCTTCATCCAACAGTTATGGTGCCCTGGAAATTGTAAAAGGCCATTCTGAGACAAATTAGCAGTTGTAGTTGCTCCACTGGAGCCCCCTCTATGCCAGCCAGCAGTGCTCCCCTCTGATTTAAGATCACGAGCCTTCAGGGCTCAGCCCCATCCACATGACAACTCTCTCCATTCCCGTGCTTTATGGAATCATCACTGTCGCCAACCAGTAAATGAGCAAAGCAATATTTAGGACAAATGCCACTGCTGAACAATGCTTCTGAATATTTCATGACTTCGAAAACCAGATTAAAATGAGGGGGAGGATGAAAGCCCAATTCCTAAAACTATTTGGGTGTTTCAGTCCCTGTACCTTGCAGGGAGGCGCTGGGATTAACAGTCTGCTCTGAAGCACGGCTGCGGCTGATGAGTTGTTTGTGTTGGAGGGTGCAGCTTCCTCCGAGCAGTGAGGTCTGGCTGCCAGTGAGGCTGTGGAGTGTGCTGGCTGTGGCCTCTGCTGACTGGCTTTCTGCACTGTGTCTGTGCAGGCAGCGATAAGAAGTGACTAAACACATAGAGTACAGACTTCGGTAAATAGTGACGTCATGAGTGGGTTTTGTGAGCCTGTGCACATGTGTGGTGTTTTAAGCTATTTTAGAAGCCAGACGACATTAGGCTGGACTTCCATAGCATCCAAAGGCCAAATGTACAGTGAAATACGTAGGAGAAAGTTGAAGCTTTTATGGATGAGGGCAAAAGGATAAACAGAGCAGGCCAAAGCAACAAAAAATTCTGTGAGTCACTGCTGTGAACAGTTTCATGTGCTAATGATAGAAGTTTGTTATTTTCCAACAACTCCCCTCACATTTTCACAGGCTTTGGTCACATAAAACAAAATCATCATATGTATTATTAATGAAAACTCCTCCTTTCCTCCCTCCAAGTTGACTCGGCCTCAAAGACCCTCCCTTGCCTTGGAGGCTGGGCCAGCCTCCCCGTCGAGGCAGCATCAGGTAATGGCCTGTGAAATGACTGGGCTTTTGTTGGTCAGGACGAGTACCGAAGGCCCTGGCAGCTTATTTATGGATCTACTGTGGTCTTTCTCCTGGCAGCTGCACCTATAAATACATGGGGAAGGTTAACCTTGCTAAAACAAACAATGATGTTAGCCTGGGACATCTGAAATAGAATGTGCAAGTCTGCAGTTGACTATAAAAAGATCTGGAATCTATCTTTAAGTGGTAGTGGAGGTGGATTTCAAACAGTCCCGTGAATGCATTTCTAGGAATGGTTTTAAGACATAGAGAAAAGTTTGTAGTTTAAGCTTTAAGCGGCTGTGCTATAAAGTTATTTGGCCTGCAACTTTACAGATTTTTTTTTTTTGTAGTTCTAATAAAGGCACTGTCAGTGGAAGGTGTTCTACTTTTTTTTAAATGATACCAGTATAAAGAACTTTAAAGAACTGTAAAACCATCATGTTAGATTTTTTTTGTTTTTTGTTGTGTTATACATTCAAAAACAAATTTTTATCAAAAGAATGCAATTACAAAACTTTTTTAGCTATATAAGAATCAATTAAAAGGAAGCTTTCTAGGTTGGAGAAATTCTGAGCTGCTTTTTCGTTACAAAAAGAACTTAATGCAATAATAAAATATACAGTTTTATCAATGATGATGTTTAAGAATTTCTTAAAAATTTGTTATAAGGATAAGGAAAGAAATATGTATTAACCTTTTATGAGACAAGGGCTTTAACAGATCCACGATTAGGGGATTTTTTCTACTTAAAGGCATACTATGCCACATTTTTCAGTTAATTAATGTGTTCCATAACGTTTTGGATGATTAAATGAGTAATTTCAGGTCAAACAAAGGTTTTCTCGGCCGCCCTGGTGGTCTGTAGGGGAAATACCGTACTTGCAATTGCAGGAGCCCTCGGCCCGCACCCACAGGCTCAGAAGTCTTGTGCATTGCGAGAGTGGGTCTTGCTTTACAGCGAGAACTGCTACACGCCCCCAGTGAAAGGCATGCTCGTTGCTAGCGCAGTGGCGATATTTGTGCACTTATCATGGCGGAACCAGCGAGAATTTTCAAACTCGAAAATTGGAAAAAAATAGTCACTTACCGCAGTAGACATGGTGATTTCATTCAGTTTCATAAAAGACAGGGGACCCCTAGGAGCATCCCTGCTGGGGAGTACTGGACAGAAAACCAGGATCTATTCCTCAGAAAAGTCTCAGTAAGATTTGCACAAGCTGGGACAACTTGGCTGTGCCCGCTAACAAAGAAATTACATATGGAAGGGCCATTTTGTAATTATATCATAATATATATTTTTTTATCTTTTACTTTTCTTATATTTTGTATGTCATTATTACCCCTCTAATATGGAGGACCAGCTCTACCATATTTAAAGATAAAAAACAGAAATAAATGAATACTCAGTAAATAAATAAGCATACAATTAATTGCCCAAATAACAAATAAATGTAGGTAGAAATTAATTATACAGTCAGACATTAATGTATATATCTCTTTTATTTAGCTCCTTTATTTATTCGCCTTTGTAATAATTACACTATTTATGTACTGTCCGTTATAATCTTCAACTTTATTTATTGATTACTTTTTTTTTAAGTATTTATTTATTTGCATGTTATAATATTTTTTCTATTTTATTCTTCCTTTGTTGTTTATACCCGATTTATTTCTTCAATGCTATTTACTTTTTCCTGTCGTTGCATTTGTGTATGCATTTCCATATCAAAAGCCAAATACTGTAATTTATGTAATAGTCCTTTTTCTGATACGCGGCATAAAATGAAAATAGTAGCCTACTATGACCAAAGCCGTTCTAAATGTATATTCAAATGGCCAGCTAAGCAAAAGGTATTTCATTATGCAGTATACCTTTTAAAGGCTTTGGATTGTGGAAATGAAAATATAGTTGCTAAAATGAATGTTTTATTTATTTGAACAAATTTTGTGATTAGGTTTATATAAAAAAAAAAGAAGAAAAAAAAACAAACTGCTGTTCCTATCACTATGCTGATGTTAGAGACCAATACTGTAGATGGCTATAAACAGCATCCCATACGACTTTTCAACCAAAAGGGGCAAGACTGTCTATTACAGGATAGGAAATCTCATTTTTGTTAAGAGCTAAATGAAAGTGAGACATCATTATCAGAACCTCCTATATACAGAACTGAATATTTGATATGAAATATATGAATTATATTTATAATATGAAAATTTATGCAGGACAGTTTTGATGTCAGATTTTCTCCTTTTCTTAGTTATTTCCCAAGTTGTGATGTTATTTATGTTTTACGCTATAAGATGACCAAGTTAAACATTTGCAAAGACCGGAGTGGGAGTAATTTTCAACTTATAAAAGGCTATCTCCAAATGATTTCTTGCTACCTTAAGGAATTGCTATTTTAGCTGCATGAATTTCAGTTGTTGTAATTGGCCTTTTTTTCCCCCCAAGGGTTTGATGCAGCTTCACAGCTTTTTTTTTTTTTTTTAGCTCAGAACAACTGATGGAGTGAGTAAAGATCCCTCTGTGTTTTTTGCTGTCAGTGCTTTCCTTCTAAAAACATTAGCATCGGCCTTGAAAACCCATAAAGGGCAAAACCTAGCAGAGTTAGCTCCTGCGGAATCTAACATGCTGTTCAGGCCAACTGTGAGAGGAAAAGGGAAACAGTGTGAAGGAGGAGAGGAGGGAGAGAGGAGGAGGGTTTTGGAAGGTGTTATGTTGCAGTATGGTGCCATGGGAGCAGTGAGGCTTTGCAAAGAGGTGAGTGTTCACATCCCTAGTTCCCCTGCTGCTGTTGGAGAAAAGGGAGGGAAAGAGTGTGAGGGGAAAGAGGGAGAGGTGAATGGAAAGACAGTGAGCTGCGAAGCTACATGGACATACGCCAGGAACAATTTAACCATCCATCACTCTCCCAGCCACGTCAAAAGCTAAATGTGTTACTCGGGTTAGGAAAAAATCCCTGGCACCTTTGGTTCATCATATCATTATCTATGTGCATCCCTGAAATGACAACCCCTCAAAACATTTTCATCACAGGTGTAAATAAACCGCAGCACCCTGTCCTGCTGGGTTTATGCACCGCGGCCGACCTCATAGACCGTGGCTCAGAGCCAAGGGGCTGGATGGCAAATGTTCTACAACAACCAGTAGAGACAAGTTAAACAGAAAGGTTTAACTGCTATTTCAGTTTCAATTAGTTATGCACAAAATAAAAACTTTGAAGCAAAGATATAATTTTAGGTATATTTTTTTTTATTTGTCATTATACTGTCACAATTACAGAGCAACAAAATGAACTCTCTGCATTCAACTCATCCCCTTGGGGAGCAGTGGACTGTCATTGTGCGGCCCCTGGGGAGAAATGTGGGGTTAAGGATCTTGTAAGGATCTTGCTCAGGGATCCAGACTGTCAGTCTGTGGGAGTGGGGTTTGAACTAAAAACCTCTGGATCCCAAGCGCAATGCCCTAACCATTAGGCCTAGAATTTTTTTTTTTTTTAATTTTTATTAGTATTCCTTATCATGTATAGTTATACGCTGTCATTAAATTAAGGGTGACCGGCACTCTTTACTTGGTTACCTTGTAAAAAAAATATACATTGGGAACAATTGCAATTAGATGTAGAAGAACTAACATTACATTACGTATTTTCACAATATAGTCTTAGTATGATTTTGGAGAACATCAGCTAGAAAATCATCATTTATTTATATACAAAACGTGACAGTTAAAATCCTCACTCAGTTTTGTTGATATTCAGGTCCGTTTTGTAAAAGGGCATCCCCATTGTTGTGTTGGAGCAGCCGGAGCCGTAATCTAAGCTCTCTCTCCCCGGATGCGGCGGGCCAGCTGGATGTCTTTAGGCATGATGGTGACCCTCTTGGCGTGGATGGCGCACAGGTTGGTGTCCTCGAAGAGACCGACCAGGTAAGCCTCGCTGGCCTCCTGCAGAGCCATGACGGTGGAGCTCTGGAAGCGCAGGTCGGTCTTAAAGTCCTGAGCGATCTCCCGGACCAGGCGCTGGAAGGGCAGCTTGCGGATGAGCAGCTCGGTGGATTTCTGGTAGCGGCGGATCTCTCGGAGAGCCACGGTACCGGGCCTGTAACGGTGAGGCTTCTTGACGCCGCCGGTAGCCGGGGCGCTCTTCCGGGCAGCCTTGGTAGCCAGCTGCTTCCTGGGAGCCTTTCTACAGCAAAAACAGTAACATCAAAAGCAGAATCACAAAGAAAGCAGAAATTACATCAACAAGCACAACCTCAAACAAAAAAACAAAGCAATAAACAATACAGACAAAATAAACGCCCATCCTCAACCACACTCAACCAGGATCACACCAAACCCACTAAACAGGATCATATTACAGAGGGGGCCTGTTAGATTTATCCATCCAGTCTGTACACATACTAACATTCAGATAGATTTAGACAATTGTTATTTAAAATATTTCATGCATTTAGAGGCCAGACCAACATGCAACCAAAGTCAGGGTTTTTAAACATAGCGTAGCAATAAATTTTGCTTGAAATTTGTTTGAACATATAAAGAGATTTTGATTTTTTATAGAATCACGAAGACCAAGTAAGAGAAGCCTTGACAGAAGTCAACTCACACTAATCCTGGATCTGCTGGAAGTTTCTTTCTGTTTAAAGGGAGTTTTTCCTCCCCACTATTGCTGCATGCATGCTTGGTGTAAGGGACTTGTAGAATCAATAAAAAAATGCTATCACATCATGCTCATACAGTAGGAGTGTGTCATGAAAGTCAATAACTTTGCCATTTTATCTGTATACTCTGATTTAAGTCTCTCTGTATAGTGCTTTGAAATGATATATGTTGTGAATTGATTCCTGAAGTCGGTGAAATAAGAAAACATTTTATTTTACATTTATATCATATTGCATACACTAAAAGCGTCACGTAAAAATTGCTACTTTTGATACTGAGGCTGCTTGTAATTTTATTAATTGATTTTATAGAAATGTTTGCACAGTCAACTAGAAGTTTGGACCATTAGCTGACTCTGACGCCATTTTGTGGATCAGAGATTTAAAAGGTTTAGGAACCTTTTGCATAGAGGGTAATTCTTTTGACCACCAGATGGACCAGATCCATTGACATTTGATGTTTGATTTATAATCATTTAAGGCCATTTAATCCCCATAACTTTACCATAACCTCAGGGCTGGGGTAGATGGTTAATTTAAAATTAAAGCATCAATTTGATAATCAAAGATTATATTAATATTAATTAATTCAACTTATTCTGCTTAATCTGTCAGGGTTGTGGTGGTGCCAGCAGTCCCCAGCAGGTGGGGAATAACCTGGACAGGTCAGCGGTCCTAACCTTTCTTCCCTTGCCTTGTTGCTGCAAGGCAACGGTGCTATGGAAAAATACTTAATGTCTTGACAAAAATGATTGTCGTATTATGTCTCCATTGGTATGCTGGTTAATTGCCATTAGTGATGGGCTCTAAGACTTTGTGAATAAAACGCCACCTTACCATCACCTTAGTTTTAAAAAGCTCAGCCAACAGATTCTTGATCATAATGAAGTTAGGGCTTTGATGGGCCATTCTAAAATGGTAATGTTGCTTCTATTAAGAGGCAACTGTTGGACAAATTAGTTTGGAACAGTTGTAACTGAAACAAGAGCTTGCCAAAGGTTCCTATGTCATAAAACGAGACAGATGGACCCAGTATTTAAGGCAAGTCAGACAATGGGAAGTTTCAAAATGTTTTATGACAGTAATGATAAAACAGAACAAAAACATAGCCTGCTGAGGATAAGCGGACCCAAGCAACTGCAGGAGGGGGGCGGGCCACCGCCAAATCACTGGCACTCTGGAAGGAGAAACACAGGTAAGTGACCACGATCATCTGACAGGGGATGATTATCAGAGTGGGTCACTTACCTGGTTCAACAGTTTAGTCCATCCTCTCCGAGGAAGGCAAGATCCACTTGGATTATTGACTGCCAAACGAAATGCGGCTCAGGGCCGTCCAAAGTGTCCCCGATGGAACAACCCCAGTAAGCAGGCAAGAGACCGATCCAGGTCAGAGAAGCAGTTCAGAGCTGGACAGTTGGGACATCCAGGAGTCTGTAGCCTTACCAGGGGTTCCATTCCAAACAGGAAAAGACAGATCCAGGGTTCCAGGAATTCTCAGAGCGTGAAGGCAGGTTAAGAGTTCTAAGAGTCCCATAGTGTGCTCAGACAGACATGCTCAGATGGAGAGAGGCAGGTTCAGTAGTAGAGAGGAACATAGACAAGAACTGGTACCAGGATAGATGCCAAACTTTAAACAGGTCTCCTCCAGGATTACAGGAATTTAAACTGACCTCCCCCGCATTCCAAGCCAAAACCTTGAGGGCTCCGTAGAGAAGGACCAGAACCCGTGTTCCCCCAGCATATGAGCCAAAACCCTGAGGGCTTAGTGGAGAAGAGCCGGGTCACAATCAGGAGACAGAACACTAATATTAAACCCTGTCAATCCGCCGGCCTCTGGGGATGGGAACATAAACCAGAGACTTAACTAAAACTCATGAAACATAAATAACTGACATGAAAACATAACAAGAATGAACTAAGAATACAAAAATAAGCTAAGAACTACTAACGAGTAATGATCTCGCTCCGATAGCAGTGCAGAACCGAATATATGTGTCATGGTCTTGGTTCTGCTGTTCTTTACTTTGCTCCTTGTTTTCTAGATTTATTGGTTTAATTCCAGTTTTGTTGTAATTTCTAGATTTATATTAGTTCTCATGTTTTTCTGTTGTCCTCTATTGCCCTCTTGTGTGTATGTTCCTTTCCCCTTGGCTCCCTCGTTGTCTCTTCTCACACCTGCTCCTTGTCAGCTCGTTAGCCCTCCCTTTGTCTCTCTCTGCTATATATGCTCTCTCTCTGCTCTCACTCTTTGTTGGTTCCTTGTCTTTGCTGTCCTCCCATGCTGTTGTCCGCATTCCTCGTCTCTCCCTGGCTCCTCGTGTTTGGTTTCCCCCGGATTTCTCCATGGGTCTGGTTTGCTTTTGATTGTTAGTTGGATTTTTGCATTCCTGCCTTTGTTACTGTTTTTTGCCCCATTAAACTCCCAAGAAATCTCCTCAGCCTCTCTGCCTCTGCATTTGGGTCCTCTACCACAACTTACCCTGACAATACGGCAGAGGGGGCAGGTGAATAAGATAATTGATAATTAGAGAGCGGGAAAGGAAAGGCAGGTGAATGAAGTGAGTTATCAAATAAGTTACCGGAGCTGTGATCATGACACCCTGGGTCCACAATTAATGTGTAAAAACTGGCACTGGGGGAATGTATAGGCTATCTTTGGTTTGTATGTAACACAAAGGGTTTTGATGCATATTTGCCACAATGGGCATGAAGGGGTTAAACTTAAATCTGAAGGGGGTATGAGTAATTTAACTGTAAAAAGAAAAACTAGACTAACACAACGGTTTTTGTATACATTTTTTTTTATTAAAAATAGACACAATGAGAACACAGTTATCAGTAGGCTTCTTTAAGCTCTCTGAGAACTCAGATGAGGTCTTGAAGTTGATTTTATGAATGCCAACTGCAACAGATAAAGTATTCATGGAGGGAGGCTACAGTCAGACCGTTGATTAGTCCAAGATCCCTTTGTTGGACCATTTAATTAGTCTCCCACTCAGCATGTCTGCCTAATGCTGCTTTTTAAACACAAGAGAAATAAAAGGCATTGATCGTATATGATCAATAGAAAATTGCCTGGGGGGCTGAAGTGTTTGAACATTCACAAATGCTGTTGTTGTAAAGCGCTGTTCCTCACAGACTCACCCCTTGGCTTCTTTTATGCGTGTTCAGTATGAGTTTGGACGGATGAAATGGGAATAATGGGAGCTGAGTGCCTAGTTTAGGTGAGGCAAAGTCACGAGGGGAGTTGGGTGATGACACCAGAATGAAACTGAAGGTGTTATGGAGGAGGACTGGTGCTCAGTGGTTTGGGAGTTTTGGCTCATAAGAAGTGTGATCTGAGTGTGTCACTTTGACTCACTATCAACGGTCTTTGCTGTTGTTAGATGCTTCACCTGGTGCTGGGAACCGGCCTGTGGTGTGTCCACAATTCCATCACCATGTGCACTGCACATCTTACTGTGTGGTGGAGACACAATCATAGCCACCACTTCATCCATGATCAAAATTCATGGATGGCCTCCTCATGGCTATATGTGTTTCATTTTTTTCCTCTTTCAGCACCAAAACACTTTACCAACATGCCCCTCTTGTGCACATGAAAGAAAATCATCCAATATAAATGCAAATTTTCTGATGGCAGAAGAATAAATATTTGGGTAACCTAGGCTTGTCAGTGTTGATTATAATATAATTGATTTTATTTTAAACCACAGTAGCTATATGTACTGACTCTTTATGAATGAAAGGAGAAAAAAAGGTCTTCAAAATAGATGGAAAATGTTGCAAAATGCTTGCATATATGGTGTTTTTTCATATGATTTAACTCAAAGGAAAATATTTAAAGATTAAGTTTTATTTTAAATCTTATATTTCAGCAGCAATGGAAATTCTTCTAAAATGATTTGTACTTTATGTCACTTACACCACAACACAGGCCTCAATATGGAGCATATGGAGCTTAGATTTATGGAATTAAATGTTGACACAAAGAGTGCCATGAAAAACTATTCCACTTTCAACAAATCTGTTATGTTATTGTTTGTTTTATATTTTGAAGACCAACACAAAGGTCAGATCAACACATACCTGTAAAGGCGAGATACTTATGCTTGAAAGCTTGAAAGCTTAGACAGGGCAAAATCACACACACTGAATATATATACATATATATACATACTTTTTCCCAAAAAAGTAAAAAAAAAACAATAAGTAGCTAAACAATAAAAAAACTAGGTAGTAGTCAGAGTAAATATGCAATTACTTTTTATGATTTTTAATGTCAAATAATTTGATGACTTTCTTGTTATCGGAACTTTAAATCAATTGTAAGTTCAATTATTAAACATAACAAGTTTAATATTAAATAATGGATTGAATAATTAATTAAAAGGACTACACATTTGAAAACACTATACCAATTGCTCTTAATCATGGTCCTCTTGTAGCACTGCTCTGCATGTCTCTATGTTGCAGCACACCTGTTTCAAATGATTGCATGACCTCTTCAGTTGCTATTAAGTGCTGCAGAAGCCTTTTAATCGTACGTTAATATAAGCCAGGTGTGTGTGGCAAGGTACTTGGGAACCAGGATTAACAACCACTGTTGTATATTTATGGGCACTGTTTTGGTGAGTGTGATGGGACAAGTGAAAGTAATTATGTTTTTTGTTTATAATAATAGAAAAATTAAGCAAGGTGGATGTTTTAGAACTTCATATTTTTGCACATTGATGGCATTTAATTGCTATAAATTAATAATGGAGCTGAGAAATAATACTTAACTCAAAAAAACAAAATATATATATATATATATATATATATATATATATATATATATATATATATATATATATATATATATATATATATATATATAAAGAACATAAGGGCAGCCAGCTGTCAATTAGTGTTACAATGATATGAAGAGCTTACAAATGCATCTAATTTACCTACATAAAGTATTTGTTCCTGCTCAAAATGAGCAAGACTTCAGCGAACGCTTTTCATTTTGGCTGTCATTGAATATGTGGCTCTATTACTGTCTCTCCTCTCAGTCTGTGTTCAGCGTATGCTACACCCAACCACATGACAGCTCCTCAGCCAATCAGCATCACATATACCTTTAGCCCACCTAGAGCTCAGCTCCCTGCTATTCCCTGCAGTAAAAATCTTTCCCAACAGCAGAGAGAGCAATTTAAAAAATCGAAGTAAAACCCTTCGTTAGATTGCAAATAATGTAATTGCATTACTGACATGTAGAAGGTAATTATGTAGTTTATATTTTCAATGAGAAGTTTAAACTTGTGCTGTTATTACACAACAGTGTTACTAACAATTATGCTTGTTTTAGGTTGGTATTTATAAAACAGCTACAAGAAGACAGACAATAACAAAAAAAAAAAAGTTGGGTTGTTTTTTGTTTTTCTTTGCCAACAGTCATGGAAGAGGCAAAGGACTAAGATGCGTTTTTCTCATGTCACCAAAAGCTGTATATCACACATTTATAGGAAGGTGGACCGAGCCTGATACAGTGCAATCTGTTCTAGACATTACAAAATACTTCAGACTATGGAAGAGGTTAATCTTTAACAAGGTTAACAACTGCCAGAGCTATAATAGAATATTTAAGAACTTGGCCCAATCAAATCCAGACATGGATAACCTGTGGGGAACGTTATAAATGTTTGATTAGAAATGCTTTCTATCCAACCTGATGGAAGCTAAGCAATTGTTTGAAGATGAGAGGGCAGTAATTTCTTTCTACAGATGTGCAAAGTCGATGGAGACATAAAATACAAGGCCTGCAGTTAGTAAGTGGGGTTTTGCAAATAACTCACTCAGAAATTAAATCCATACTATTCTTTCAGCTTTCATGTTTCCTTTGGTAAAAATGTTTAAAAGCAGATTGCTTTTTGTTCTATACATCAGTATTTGATGCTGTTGCTTGATGTGTCGCCATCTAAGAAGGAATGAGGTTTGTGGTGAACTATTATTAGGTGCTTATAGTTAACAACTGAATTACACTTTTGTTAGAAAACGTATGATTTATTTTATTAAAAGTGCTCTGCTCCCACCATGGCTACAGAACCTATAGAGATGTTGCCCTTTCACAGAGCAGAAACTTTATAACAACACTAAGATTCAGATTGCACATGCTTGAACCACTGGTAAAACAAGAAAAGCTTTTTTTTTCTGTTGCATCATCATTTATGTTCAGATAAGTTGCATGCAAATCCGTTTTGTCGTACTGGCTGAACAAAGGCTTCTCGTATGGTCAAATGATCTCAGAGATGTAAAACATCTCAGAGAGCAGATTAGTTATCTGTGGTAATGTTAAACAGAGAGAATTGGTTATTAACTGCAAGTTAGGATGCAGTCAGTGAAATTAAAAATCAAATGTGAGAAATATCTTGTCAAAAAAAAAGATATAGCCAAAAACTGTTCTGAAATCAATACATGACTGGAATAAATTGGATGTGTTCATAAAAAAACTACTTTCTCAGAAATATAAAATTACAGTATGCTGTACTCTCATGTAACTCCAGTTAGGCAGCTAAGGCCCTACCATCACCAAACAAACATACAGTATGTGTACTTCACTCACGATGAAAATGTTTTCTGTTTGGAGAAACTGCAAGAATGTGTAGAGCTTTGGGTATTGAGGCTTTGAGAAAGAATAATTTAGTGATCCACTTTATGTATGCTGATTGTTGCAACATACACTTAAAAAAATAGCTATAGCACTGCCTATTTTTTTTTTTTTATGTCCATAGAACCAACTACTAGGTATATTACTAATGGGTATATTACAGCTTTTCTTTAAACATTTTGCCAGTCGCATAGAACCATATTGAAATAGAGATATTGCTCTTATAAATGTATGTAGTCAGACTATATGCCTAAACAGAGAAAGACAAAAAAAATATTTTGATTATGAGAAAATGGTTATTTACATCAATTGTATGCCCTGATAATGTTTGGAAGGTCTTTTTTAGCCTAAATAGAATTCCAGCATTGGGTGCGATGAACAGGCATCAACAGAAATTTGCATCATCTGTTAGCAGTACAGGAGAACTATCAGAAAGCCAGATGGCAATAGTTGATATTGCAATACCTCACGGTAAAGTGAGAGCTCAAGGTAGCATAGCAGGATAGTTGAAGACCAATGTTGTTTTTATGTTATTGGTATCTTATCTGTTTGTATCCACTCTGTTCTCTCCTGTAGCGTCTTGTTTAATGTTCACTGTTTTTACCTGCCTTAGGACAGCGGATGCAAATTAGCTGTTGTGCTAATTCTGGCATATTTACATTGATGCTTTATGCTGACATGTTGATGAATGCACATTGTCCTAATTCAAATAAATAAAATAAATGTACGGTTGAAGAACAATAGATATTAATTAAATAAACCAATTTAACAATTTTTTATAAAGCCTCCCTAAGCATCCTCTGAACATTGAGAAAATATGTTCTTCCTATTCCTATAAAACAGGGAAACAGCAAAGTAATATTTCAATTGCATAAATAGAAAAAGTCATAAGCTAAAAACTTTTCATTTAAAATGTACCACATTTAAATTCTATTTCTCTAATAGAAATTCTCTAATCTCTAATTTCTCTAAAGTACATCGATAAGCCTTGAATTCAATTTGATTTCTAGTAGTCTTCTGGATTCTGACCACCATTGAATTTTATTCCTCTTGAAATACATTTTTTACATTTATTTTTATTTTTATTTTTTTTACACTGAATCTTAAACTTTATTTTCAGAACTTGACCAATGAGAGGTGCTAACTTCCTTTGCCCCAGTACTTCCTTGTTTTCCCCTGGCCCAGTATCCTAAAGTAATCCTATTGTATATATACACAGAGGGCTTTAATTACTAAAAAAGATAATCAAGAAAACAAGGTTTAACACAAAAACTAGCAAACCTGTCAGCAGCATAAGGTAATTTTCATAAAACTTTTATGTAACCAGTGTGAGCTGCTGTATACATTTAGAAAATGTCATAAAACGTGATTACTGTATAAACCTTTAGGAAAAAGATAGACTGTGTGATGCTCAGAGCTTGTTAATAGTGGAATCTTTCTATGAGACTGCACAGGGGAAATAGTGACAAGTCAGCAGAATATCATCACTTAACATGATGAGTTTTGCAAAAACAAAGATCACAGGTGCAAAGTGTCTTCCGATAGTGACTCCTTTTGGACTTAAGTATTAGATTTTTTTTTTTTCGTACTTGAAAGACGATAATATTTCTTTCCTCACTCATCATAGTAGCAGTGAGAACCTGTAGACTTACTTTAGCTCCTGTTTCCAAACAAAAATGAGGAGAATTCTTCAAGCACAGATTACTCTGCAGAACTCTGCACACGGCTCCACACTCCATCTGAAAGTTCATGCTTCTCGTCTGACGTTGATCCGATAGATCTGGCATGCTGCTCCTCTCCTAATGATGATGTTTCACAATTAGCTTTGAAAACTGTGGAAATGTTTCT